ATGGAGTTGTCCATCTTAATCTTCTTCATCATTATCTACACCTTCGCCATCCAGAGATACACGTTCTTCATCCTGTGGCCCATTTCTGTAAGTGAGGGGCGGTGGGGAGTGCCTGAGCCTGGTGTGCGTTCACGCGTATATCCTGGCACCTGGAAAGCGACTGAACAGAGAGATATGCCTCATCTCCCTTATTTGTGCTCCGGGCATGGGCTCAGACCTTCCAGTGGGGCCAGAGCAGGGGCAGCTGAAGTTAGGTAGAAAAGGCTTCCAGAAAGCCCAACTTGGGGGCGGAGGACCTCTTTCCTACCTGGTGGTCAAAGGAAGGAGTCTTTGCCTTCCTGAGGCTTTGCTCTCCTTGGGAGCAGGGGAGGTGTAGCAACCAGCGGTTCCTTCCATCCCCTGTGCCAGCTCACACTTGACTGGAAAGACCACTCTGACGGTACCCCATCCCCAGAATTCAAAGAAAAAAATCAGTAATATAAAATGAGAATTAAAAAAAAAAAAAGTCACATCTAAAGCAGCCTCAGATCTCCAGTGACTATCCCTGCAAGGGATGTTAAGCCCAGAAGGATGTTCAGCCCAAAGCAGTCATCCACTGGAATGGGACTGAGCTGGGCAAGTTACCACCCACTCCCAGACTCTGTTTCCTCATCTGTAACATGAAGACAGTAATAATCTTGTGTGAGATTGTTCCTCAGGAGTAAAAGTAAAGCCCCAGCTGCTGTGCCTGAAGACTCATGGACTTGAATCCCTGCCCATTACCTCTGTAATCACAAAGCTTACCTACCTAACTCCCAACTAACCCAAGGTCCCGTGTTCATTGCACATTCACAGCATGTCTCCAGAGCCTAGGCTCACTGTTTCACTCACTTTACACATGAAATGGGTTCAGAATGGCTAAGTAACTTGCCCCCAGGTAAATCAGGCAGTAAGTGGCAGAAAAAGGATTCAAACCCAGCTTTATCAGTAGAGTCTTGAGTCCCTAACTACACTGTGTCCTGCCTACTTATTAAAAGTTATTAGGGTCCAGGGATCCATAGGTCTCAGGGGGGTAGATGAGGACTCCCAGTATCAGGAGAAAGGAAAAGAGGGCCATATAAGACTCTTGGGAGATGGATACGCAGAGGACAAAGTAAAGGGACAGGCAGAGGACACATTCCCAGCCAAGGTGCTTGAGAAGATACTTTTAGTTCCAGCAAGATGAAAAATCACTGAACCCTGAAAATCCTCCTGCTGTACTTACCTAAAACTACCAGGGGAAATGTAAACACTATTGCTTTAACTGAATGGCTGAGCTGGCAAAAAAAAGAAGAGGCAACACAGAGGTGCTAGAAATGGAAAACAGGGGCAGTGACAAATCAGCTGCTTCAGTGTGGGTGGAAATGACCCACGAGATATTATCCCAGGAACCTAGAATATGGATTCTCATATACTTTCAAGTTAGGACTTGAGGCCTTGGTCCCAAGCAAAGTGGGAATTTAGAACTGAGAATCCTGCATAAGGCCAGCACCCTGCAAAGACTGCACCCTAAGGGAAAAGACAGAGACGATACCTTTCACCCACACAGAGGAAAAAGAAAGCATGTTCATCTCTGCCCGAGTTTTGAGTGGGGAAAAGCAAAAAAGACCACCTTGAGAAATACGAACCTTGAGCCTACACTTTGTACAGATTTGGTATAAGTTTTTCCTACCTTCAGCCTAGAAATCTTCATGCAGCTTAGAAAATGTAGTGCCTGGGAACTGGCATAAAAATCGATCCCAATTTGATGGTATTCTGAAGAAATCCATGGGACTCCTGAAAAACAAATGCAAAATCATAATCAAAGCATAAAGAGATTCTCACAGGACAGATATGGGGGGGGGTGTACAAAAATCAACTCACAGTTCAAAACTACAAAACACCTGATTTTTAAATCCCCAGGACTAAGAATCAAGAACCAGCAAAAACAAGAAATGGGAGGATTAGAACCCTGAGAATATGAGATAATAAAAGAACTGTCTGAAAATAATTTAAAATACACTTAAATTATAAAGACATAAATAAAAGCCCTAAGAAAAGAATAAGACATTATTAGGATGGAACAGACAGATTTTTTTTTTTAAGTACAAGATATAATGTCTAGAATTGAACATATAGTTATTGAAATAAAAATGTCAATAAATGGGTTAAAAAGCATATCAGACAAAAGCTGGGGAAGTAATGAGCTGAAGGATGTGGGGAAATTACCCAGATTATAGTACTGACAGATAAAGAGAGAAAATATGAAAGAGAGAAGTTGAAACATAGAATATGGAATGAGAAAGTTCATCATAAGCCTAATAGGAGTTCCAGAAGAAGACACTCAAGATAATAGAGAAGAAATATTCAAAGTGATAGTGACTGAGAACCTGCCAAATTTAATAAGAGTGACATCACTAAAAATGGCAGAGTAGGGAACTCCAAATCTCTGTCCTTCCACTAAAGCAATGATTAGGTTCTCAAAAACTGTCAGAATCGACTTTTTCAGAACTCTGGAATCTAATTCAAAACAAAATAAAACAGGAGAATGCTCAATGAAGAAAGAGGCTGTTGAATTTTGGTAAGAGAATGTTGTAGCATTTTACTTAACCTGCCTGCCATCCCTTAATCCCCAGCTGGTCAGTGGCCATGAAGACAGCCCACATTCCTGGCCACATTCCTTGCTGGTGGCAGACGGAACAATAAAAACCTTGTTCCTGGGCTTCCCTGGTGGCGCAGTGGTTGAGAGTCCGCCTGCCGATGCAGGGGACACGGGTTCATTCCCTGGTCCGGGAAGATCCCGCATGCCACGGAGCAGCTGGGCCCGTGAACCATGGCTGCTGAGCCTGCGCGTCCGGAGCCTGTGCTCCACAACGGGAGAGGCCACAGCAGTGAGAGGCCCACGTACCGCAAAAAAACACAAAAAACCCTTGTTCCCAAAGAATTAGAGTTGTGTGCTTGACCTGTCTGGTGGCTCCCTGAGGGATTAGCCAGGGACTTGCCTTTGTTTCACCTGCCTCAGAGTTTTCTCAGGGCTGAAGCAGTCTCCTAGATAGCATTTGTTAAAGCATTTAAAGACGTATATACTAACCATAGCCACCCGGGGCAAGGTTTCCCAAGCAGTAGACAGACCAGAAGTTTGGGAAGCAGATGCTTGGGAGAATAAGAGCTTTGAAAAGCTCCCACCTATACCAGGGAATCTAGAAGGACTGCACATGGCCAGAGCTGGACACATGCCCAGAAAAAAACCCTAAGCTTTCACCTTTGGCTGACCTTTAGGCCCTGCACAAGCAGCAAGTAAAAACTAAGAGCTCTAGGGCTTCCCTGGTGGCGCAGTGGTTGAGAGTCCGCCTGCCAATGCAGGGGACACGGGTTCGTGCCCCGGTCCAGGAAGATCCCACATGCCGCGCAGCGGCTGGGCCTGTGAGCCATGGCCACTGAGCCTGCGCGTCCAGACCCTGTGCTCTGCAACGCGAGAGGCCACAACAGTGAGAGGCCTGAGCACTGCAAAAAAAAAAAAAAAAAAAAAAAAAAAAAAAACTAAGAGCTCTAAACATCCTGGAGAGGTGTTGAAGGAGTGCCCCAACACAAAGGCAATCTGCAAAGACTTGTTTCCAAATATTTAAGGAAATCTCTGTCAAATCACTACCTGACCATTAAGCTAGTGAAAAACAAAGACTTCACTGGCCACACAAGAGAAAGAATAGTCTTTCAAAACATAGTTTAGGAAAAATCATTAAACATACAAATGACTTTAACTCACAACAAGCAACAACAACAAACTCTGGGGAGGAGAGGCAATATGATTTCCAGAGTAACTATATTATAATATTCAAAATGTACAGTTTTCAAAGAATTATAAGGCACACAAAGAAAGAAGTATGGCCCATTCACAGGAAAAAATTGTTAATAGAGACTGTCCTTGAGGAAGCCCAGATATTAGACTTACTGGACAAAGACTTTAAATCAACTGTCTCTAAAATGCTCAAAGAACTAAAGGAAACCAGGAGAACAATTCATGTACAAATACAGAATGTCAGTAAAGAGAAGTTTAAAAAGAAACCAAATAGAAATTCTGGAGCTGAAAAGTAATATAACTGAAGTGAAAAATTCACTAGAGTTGTTTAACAGCAGATTTGAGCAGGCAGAAGAATGAATCAGTGAACCTGAAGACAGGTCAATTGAGATTATTCAGTCTGAGGAACAGAAAGAAAAAAAGAATGAAGGAAAAAAATGAACAGAGCCTAAGAGACCCATGGGACACCATCAAGCATACTAACATAGGCAGAGCCCCAAAAGAAGAGAGAGAGAAAGGAACAGAAAGAATATTCAAAGAAATAATGGCCAAAAAACTTTCCAAATTTGGTAAAAGATAGGAGTCTACACATCCAAAAAAACACCAAGTAGAATAAACTCAAAGTGATCCACACTGAGACACATTATAATAACTGTCCAAAGACAAAGACAAGGAGAAAGTCTTGAAAGTTGTAAGAGAGAAGCAACTTATCTTGTACAAGGGACACTTGATAAGATTAACAGCCAATTTCTCATCAGACACCATGGAGGCCTGAGGGAGTGGAATGATATGCTTAAAGTCCTTAAAGGAAAACAAACTGTCCACCAAGAAGTCTATCTTTTAAACTTGCTATCTGTTATGAGTTGAATTATGTACCCCCCAAATATGTTGATGTCCTGACTCCCAGTATCTGTGAATATGACCTTATTTGGAAATAAGCTGTTTGCAGATGGTCAAGTAAAGATGAGGTTATCAGAGTGGAGATAGAGTTGTAAAGAGGACAACATGCCAGTCCTGAAAATGGAGAAAAGACAGTCTCTTCAATAAGTGGTGCTGGGAAAACAGGACAGCTACATGTAAAAGAATGAAATTAGAACACTCCCTAACACCATACACAAAAATAAACTCAAAATGGATTAGAGACCTAAATGTAAGAC